TATAATTTTGAGTTAATTACTATCAAATAGAAAAATATAGTGCCAAATGTTTTCAAGTAGAAAATCTTTACACGTGTCTTGTTTTTATTTTTCAAAAAGGTTAGTTGTCTGAACTGGTTATATCAGACACATATTTGGATTATATAAACCTGATTCTATTAAATAAATTTATCATAAGTGATTTTTAGTTTTGACCTTTGATTAAGTTACCATAGGACAGTTGAAGTGTCGTGTGAGACAGGTCAAAATAGCAGCAGGCTTCCACGTATTAAACTAACGTAATTTGTTCCAAAAAAAGCTTCCTTACCATGATATTAGGGTGAGACTTTAACATTATATTATGAGCATCCATAGTGTACATATAATCAAATTATATTAATAATAAAACAGTAAAGAATATATTATAACAAAAGAAGTATTAATAATATTTGGGTTGAAATAATAATTAGTATAACAATACAATATTAAATGCAATTATAAAAAAATCTATTTGTGATATTTTGTTTGAAATAATAATATTTATAATAAAAAAATTATTCATTAATCAGTGTCACATAAATTTAAAATTTAAAATTAAAATTTATTAAGTTTACAAATACTATAAACACCCTTGACATAATTATGTAATTATTTTTATATGTTGGATACAAACATATAATAGCATCTCCATAACGACCGCAGTCACCGTCGGTATAGAGCCATGATGACCGTAATTTAGAATTATGTGTGGTTTATTAATAACTCATGCTAATTGCTACATCGGATAACGTAATAATCATCCATACCCATTTCAGTGCCTTGGTTTGAACGTTGAGTTAACAATGAGAATGAAGACATGTTACAAGCATCTTAGGCACAGCCGTCTTCAACTTTCTCCATGCATATATAACTGTCGTCTCACAATCCATGGAACATAAACAAACACATTTTTCCAATGGCCGACGTTGTTGTTAGTCTGTTTTCACTAGTCCTGCTTTGCATGGCAGCAGGAGCTCAAGGGAGAAAAACACTTCGTCTGGGCCACCAATGGCTCACATCTTATCCAGTTATTGATGATAATGTTGATGGTATCTGCAAAACTATGGTAGAGACACAAGGTTACACATGTGAAGAACACAAGGTACGTACACATGCTACCGTTCTGTTGAATCTACTTGGTGATGATTGTGAAGGCATTTTGATCAGTGATTGTTTCTGTTGGAGGCAGGTTACAACTCAGGATGGCTACATCCTAAGCCTGCAGAGGATGCCAGCTGGGCGGTCCGGCAAGAAGGCCGATCAACCGCCGGTGCTATTGCAGCATGGCATCTTTAGTGTAAGTTGTGTTAATGCAGAGATAGACACGTAATAGTAGTAGCAAAAAACATTGTTTGTTTTCTATGCCTTTAAAAGTGTAGAACAATGTAACATTTTTGTTCCTGAAAGTAACTAAACTATAAAAGGTTAGGTTGAGAGACTAATATGATTGAATTGTATACTTTAAGGATCAGAGTGGTGATTTACCCTTTTTGAACGTACAGTTAACAGTGATGATTGAAAAGAAATGAGAAAACTAAACAATATAAAGAACATGAAAATCTGAGAAGTGATGTTATAACATTGAGTAATTAACTTGTGAGGTGTGGTGACAGGATGCTTCAACATGGCTGGTGAATTCTCCAGATGAATCATTGGGGTTTATCTTAGCAGATAATGGGTTTGATGTGTGGCTTGCCAATGTTCGTGGGACAAAGTACAGCAACGGCCATAAATCACTTGATACTAATGACCAGGTTCTTTCTCTTATGAGAATAATAGATATATACATATGCATTTCATGTTTCAGACTATGTGATGGATAATTTGCTTTTCTTCATTCTTATGTGTAGGCTTATTGGGATTGGTCTTGGGATGAATTGGCCGATTATGATCTTTCTGCTTTCGTCCAATATGTCTACAACTATACTGGTCAGACAATGCACTATGCAGGTCATTCCTTGGTGAGTTCTTAATTTGTTTCTGTTTTTCTTTTTAGATTCTCTTACGTAATATTGAACATAGTTGTAGTTCCTGTATAATGTTGTAGAGTCTAAAAATGTCATATTTCTAGTTTGTATGAGTTTAACATAATGACCTGAAATTTCAGGGAACCTTAATGGCTTTAGCTGCTTTGTCGCAAGGACAAGGGCTGAACATGTTAAGATCAGCTTCACTTCTTTGCCCAATTGCTCATATGAATCAAATTTCATCACTGGTGACAAAGATTGCAGCTGATACATTTATAGCTAATGTGAGAGATAGAAGATGATTTGTCTTGGAATTAAAATTTCTACTGAATACAATTTGATTGATGAAAATATTTTCCTTTTTCTTAATATGACAGGACATGTACTGGTTAGGAATCCGTGAATTCAATCCAAACGGGTACCAGAAAAAACCTTGATCTTTGAAATTTGCTATCTCTTTTTGCAAAGTGTATGAGTAGTTGCAATGTTTCCTAATGAGCAGGGGGGGTGCTGCATCAAATTTTGTGGAAAACATCTGCAATAAACTGAACTTGAACTGCTCAAACCTAATGTCACTTGTCACAGGTGCTATAAATGTTACTAACTTGACCAGAAAATAAATTCACTTTATGTATATATTATGATTCTGATTCATGAAAATAATTACACTATATTTCTATATTCTTACACTCAAACTTTAGGTCCAAACTGCTGCCTAAATTCATCCATGACTGATGTCTCTTCTGAGCCAACCGCAACCAAGAATTTGATCCACCTATCTCAAAGTAAGTCTATTAGTCGGTAACATTTTTGTTATGTGATTTGATTTTGAAACATTTCTTTTATGCATTCTTGTAAGACCCATTTCAATAAATTTATAGATAAGAACTTGTATGAAAAAATAAGGAAAAACAAAAAAGGAAAAGGAAAAACTCCATAAGTTAAAACTAATTTATTCATAAACTAAAACAAGAATACTTTTACAAATTAACCTTATATAAACTAATTTTAGTTTATAGATTTTTTGTATGAAGACTTGATATTTATAAAAGACAGGCTCCTTGGTTCTACATGAATATGTTGTTGTTGATATTTGTTCCTATTGATTTGGAACAGTGATCAAAACTGGAAAAATAGCAAAATATGATTACGGTGATGAAGGAGATAACATGAAGCACTATGGACAAGCAGTTCCTCCTCTTTATGACATGACAGCCATTCCAAATGAATTCCCTCTTTTTGTGACCTATGGAGGGCAAGACCTGCTATCTGATGTAAATGATGTGCAGGTTTTGCTCAATGACCTCCAACATCATGATGGGAACAAGCTTGTGGTACTGTTCAAAGAAGATTATGCTCACCTTGATTTTGTTAGGGCTGTCAATGCTAACCAAATTATTTATGATCCCATCATAGCTTTCTATAAGGCTAATTGATTTCCTACAACTCTTGTTAATAGTACTTCAAGTCATGTAAAGTTTTTTTTTTTTTTATCATGAAGTTATTTCAAAGTTCAAGAAACTAATTCACTGCGAACATTCAAGTTGTTTAGCTATGATTTTCCATGATAAGTAATTAATTTGTACCAACATCATGTTCACAGCAAATCACTAATCCACTCTTTAGAATGTATAAGAGAGAAAAATAATTTGAATGTGTTTCGTTATGCATTGGAGATAGGTGTATAAGAATAAGTTTGATGTATAATACCATTGTCATTTTCAATGCATAATGCTTTAAGAAAATTCTTACTATATTTACACCTCTATCAAACCTAAGCCTTTTTAATATTTTTATTCAAATTGATTTTCTACTTCAGATTTATATTTTAAAAACATTTTAACAGCCTCGTCTTTTGATTTGAAAAATAAATTTTCGTATATCTGGAAAAGGCATCAGCAAAAGTTATATTATATTTTTTGCCACATTTACTCATTGTGTTTTTAAAATCAGCCAAGTCAGAATGTATCAATTCAAGCAATTCAATGCTTCTGGAAGTGACAGATTAAAAGGTTTCTTTGCATATTTTGCTTCAACACAAATATATAGAACATTCATTTTCATCATACGCATTTATAAGATGCATATTTTTCAATCTTTTGATTGAACCAAACTTCACATGTCCAATCTTTTATGTTTAATAATTTAAAAGATATAATTTAATTATTATTTATGATAAGGTTGTTAGTTTTTATGTTTGTTATTTTAAAAGATATAATGGTGGTAATTAGTAATCAACGGGTAGTGTAAAACTGTTTTACATTATCAAGGAATAATAATTACAGTTTATATATCTATTATGAGAGATTCTCCTTTTTTCCATAGTTATTTTTTAAATTTATTTTCTGAATTAAAATAATTATTTTATTAATTTTATTATTTTTGTAAATGTAACGGTCTTTTTTAATTTGATCAATTTTTTAAAACCTAACTATTTTTTAATTATAAAGTTACCGATAAAATAAATAAAACATATTTACAATAAAATTATAAAAATTATTTATATTTAATTTCATAATTAAATAATTACATCTATTATCTATATATAAAGATTTTTTTTAGTGTTCATATTTTTGTTTTTCTAATTTATCTTGTAAATAAAAATAACTTTAAATTGAGATAATCATTTTTTTTCAATTTTATTAAAGTTTTTCTAAATTAAAATAATTACTTCATCAATTTTATCGTTTTTCACATTTAATCATTTTTTTTATTTTGATTAATTTTTTTTAACTAAGTTGTTAATTATAGAATTAATTATAAAATAAATAAAAATATTTATAATAAAATTACAAATATTATTTATATTTAATTTTATGATTATAATAATAACAATGATAATAATAATTTTTTTACTGATTAAAGATAAACTTGATTTTTAATATAAAAATATATTTGAAAAATATGATAAAGAATTATAGATATATAAAGATAATGATATTGACAAAATATATTTTCTTTTCCGGGGAAAAAAGATAGGGAATTTAAAGAGAATAATAAAAGATGATAGTTAAATTCTATATAAAGGGGAAGAACGAAAATTCTCAAATCCATCGAAGAAGAGATACCTGAAACATTGAACAGTACCCTAAGATTTCAGCATCAAAATCAGGTTCCCACGTTCCAATGTCTTCACGAGCGATTGCTGTTGCGATGCTTCTTTTGGCACTGACGATAACAACTTCAGTGAGCATACCGAGCCCCATAGAGCAGTGCCTGAGGCAACAACTGAATCCAGTGCCTCCACCACCGCTGGATTCGTCCCTTTATGGAGTCTTCGATTTCAATCGTATTGTATGCAAAGACATGTTTCGAGGCGTCAACCATGCGCTGCGGATAACAGGTGAATTGCCTCTGGATTACATCATTGCTCTATGTGATATCTTCGCCGATGACGAACACAAGGTGCAGAGTCACGTCAATCTCATTTTTTATACTCAAGATTATAACACTCTCTCCGGCGGTCGCTCTTGCGCCATCATCCGAACTAGGCAACGCGCCAACCCTCACAACTCCTCTCTCTGGTGAACCAATATCCTATTCGTCTTCAAATTAGGTTTTCTTTTTTTAATTTGTGATAACTCTTTGTTGAAATTGGTACCTCTGTTATTTTTTTTATCTTTAATATTTAATTTACTTTCATTTAGTAATTTTTTATACTGGAAAGTATATGAATTTTGTTTCAGTGATTTAGTTTTTATATATTGAATTAAAGAATTTGATCTCTTCTTGTAAAATGTTAATTATGTAATTCAGATCAAATTTATTAAACTTTCGTCGTTTACGTGATTCAATTTTTAGGTTTTGAAACAAGTTTGTTTCGTATATTCGTGTTAAACTATTATTAATTTGTGCTAACAAATATTCAGATTCGGTTTATTTTCGAATTTGATTCAAACCAGTAGGTATATTTAAACATAGTTGAGTGTCTAAGCTTTTTTCAATGCAACGTTTCAATTTCTTTTCTTAATTTTTCGGTCAGGTTTTTCTTTTTTCTTTCAGTCAGATGATATAGGTTCCTGATTATTTTTTATTTTGAAAAGATTTAACAGGGAGACTAATCTCTGTTAAAGATTTAACAGAAACTTAATAGATAAACAGTTCCTTCAAACCCAAGTCATATTTCAATGAACTTAAATTTTGATGTAACCATTAACTTATGAAATAAGCATCAAATCTTATACATCTATAACTTGTAACTTATTTGTTAAAAATAATATTTATTATTTTGCATAAATTGTCTTCAATTTCAACTTTTTTTTATAATTTAATTATTTTTATTAATTTAAAACTTTTTACATTGTTTCATGTATTTATAATTTTATATCATTAAAATTTTAGATTTTTTTCATATGAATCAAATCAACTGAATTTAAACAATTACAAAATATTTAAAAATGAGTATATATATATATATATATATATATATATATATATATATATATATTATATTGGTTATAACTAAATTACGATATCTTATATATTATATTGTAGATATTCAATAACCAACTAAATCATTTATCTATATTTCCTTTTTTTTCACCTTTATTCAAGAATCAAGAAGCTATAATATAAATTAATTTCAGAAAAAAATACTCACTTAATTATTTTTTTCCATGTTCTTGATCAATTGAAAGTCAAACCTCAAAAGTACAATTTTAGCCTTCCGAAAATACTACTCTTTCTCTTTTAAAGAATTGTGCCGTTTTGGATGAAAAGCTAACCAGTTCCTTCTAACATAAACCATTTCCATAAATCTCTACTATAAAAATAATATATTTTAAGAGGGGTTATTTTCCGGCGGTTTTTGAAACCCCAAATAATTTCTGCGGTTTATAAGCTAAACCGTCCCTAACATCTATTTATTTTTTTTAAATAATTTTTCAGGGTAATCACTAGATATTTTCTATTAACCCTAGTTTTCTTCCCGCACGCCTTCCTTCTCGCTTCTCTCTATTAACCCTAGTTTTCTTCCCGCACGCCTTCCTTCTCGCTTCTCGTCTTTGTGGTCTCATTTTCTTTCAATCGTATCCCTTTCCTATGCCGTTTGTTCATCTTCAAGGTATGAAGTTCTTGGGGGCTTGATCTCACTCTGGCAATCAAGCAAGTAAACTTGGAAACAAATCTGTCACTTTCTTCTCACTTTGTCTCACTTTCTCACCGGTTAAATTTGCTCAAATCCACCCTCAGTTCAATAGGTAGGGTTTTCTACCATTTTCTACCGATTCGTCTTTGTTCCTTTTCGTCTAGAGGTTTGTATCGTTTAAAATCCTTCGTAACTTTAATTTCTTCATTTCCACTGGCTAGTTCATCGTTTCCACCGGTGAAATTGTTGCTCTTCCACCGATCTCGAACCTAGGTTTCGTATTCGTTTCCTCCCCCTTCTTCTTCCGGCGGCCGTCCACTCGATTTGCATTCAACCAGATTCATGGTTTCGTCTCACACTCATCCCATACCGGGGTCAGCAGTTGGTACAGAGTCTAGTTAGGCGCGTCCCGCTTGAGCCGAGTGTTTTTCCTTCACTTTTCTGTTGTAAATTTTGACTTTTAAAGTTGGGTGCAACGGGAAATGGAGTTGGCAACGTAGCAAGGATTGGCGTGTAATTGTGTTTGTATAATAGATACTATTTTTTTTAGTCATCAAAACTTTTCTGATTTACTGGGTTACAACTGAACAAGTCAGCATTGATAGAAGGGGGATATCACTGTGGCAGGGGCCTGGGGGTGGGTAACAGGGGTTCCGGCAGATATGTTTTCCGTTGGCTATTGGCGTGATAGTACCCGCTTGGAGCGAAAGAAAGAAATTAAGTGTGCGTAGAAGGATCGCAGCAAGTATTGAGAGTGTTTTTTGTTCCAGGGGGGAGTAAATAGAAACGACGAATTGCCTTGGAACAAAATTGACATATGGATTTATCGGCTGGACAAGCCCTGCGTCAGAGAGGGATGGTGAAAGTAGATGAGAGAGGCCGGCTCATTCCATGGTAGAAAAACCACAGGGTATTAATAACACAGGGTAAATCCACAACCTAACCTAAGCAACCTAACGGTTTAGCTTCATGCCGATCTAGGAATTTGGGGGGGTTTCCACTGTAGAAAGAAAAAGAAATTATCAAGCTCATTGTCACGGAGTGGGTCGGCCGGTGTAGGAGGGAAATCTGGCAAGTTAGCAGGTTCCCGGAACTGCTGGCCAAAAGAAGCCTTCAGTCCGGAGGGGGCGTCCTGTGCTGCGTCTTTTCTGTGCGTGACATAGTTTATTTTGAAGGGTACAAGACGTGGGGGGCCGCCATAGGATAGGGCTGAATAGAGAGGGATCGGATCTGTATTCATATTCCGCCTGGGGTATTCTCGCAGCAAGCAGACACCTCGCTTGTTGGGTCTGTTCATGGAGGGTATATGTGGCAGACCTGTATTGGGAGGTAATTATGGGGTAAAAGAGAGACGACACAGGGTTTTAAAATTGATGGTGTGGTAAATGGTTATGGGGGCTCCACTAAAGCACAGCATTTGGTTCACTTGTAGCAGGGAGAATACGAAAAAATGACCCAACCGAAAAATGGGTCAAAGGGAACTAAGCAAGCGTTAATGCTTCCTTACGGTAGTAATTGATCGTCCTTTGTCAACAGGGGTGGGGGGCCACCAGGGGTCAGGTTTCGCAAGGTGTCAAAGGGATCATGATGAAAGATAGAGTTGTCAGATGTTTGTAATGGAATGATTTTGTAGGAGCAGGATCATAGAATTACCTGACGTTTGATTCTTTCAATGTGCATTTTTTAATCCTAAAGAGGAAAAATCTTACAGGTTCCAAGAACGTGGGGCATATTTAATAGTCTTGTTTCCCGCACATCCCTCTCTTTTGGAGTGGTGTCCGTATGTCAAACCAAAGAGCTTCCCTCTGGACAAAGGAACAGCTGGGTTCCTATCGAAGGACTATGGTTGCAAGTGAAAAAGAATCATCAACATCTCAACTTTCACTGAAATCTCACTCCACAGGTTAATCCGATTCTTTGGGGTGTTGCCCTTTGGCTTGTTTTTTTTCTATTTTAAAGAATGCATGCAATCGCAAATTTTTTCTTTATCGCTTTAAAAATAAACTTACAATAATTTTAAATATATCCATCAAAACCTCACAGAGAGACATTTCCTAAATTAATAACTGAATGAAAAAGAAGAAAAAAGAATCATAAGAGAATTAATCACTTATACGCTAATAAAAAGGTATCACTTAGTATTCTCACCTTGTACCTTTCAAATTATTTATTCTATCGGACAATAGTACCCTGATTCTATGTTAATTTTAAATAGAAATTTAAAAAAACTAATTGACAGAGAAATATTTTTACTACAATGTAAATATTTTCTTTATAGTTTACTAAATTTGTCCTATTATTATCTGTTAAATACATTTTTTAACTAAGATTTGAATTTTTGGTGTAAAATTGATATTCATCATAGATCACATTCTCTTATTTTTCATATCCATATTGAATGTTGGGGTTAGGACTTTTTGAAAACAAGAAATTTCATGTAGTTACTGTCAACAGAATAGATTGGTGAAAGTAGCATTAAATGATGTCTGTAAAGGGTATATATTATTGAATAACTATATTACTTTAAATTGTTTTATTTTACATATTATGAATATCTACTGTGTTAGCTAAATTTGATTTGAGTTCATTTTAATCTATTGATTTCTGTTTAACTTTGTTTTGGATTTTATTAATGTTCTGTAAGGTTAGGCATACCAAATGAGCAATGAAATGACTTGGCATAGCTAGGTTACAAAGTCGAAGGACCCCAAATTTGATTACATTGACATTAACGAGAAACATAAGGTAATGACTTCTCAAACTTTCTTTCTCTCGCTTCTTTGAATGTTTGTGAATAAATTTGAAATTGATTTCTTTTTAATGTTGTGTAGGTCGTAAATGAATGTGTTGAAGCTGAGAAATGATATATTCATCATATAAATCTTTGGGTCCTACTTCTTTTTTCAGGTTGTGATCCCTTGCATACAAAGAAAAAAGGGTCTCAAGGAAAGTAGCACCAATTGGGCTTGACCTGCCATTTGCAATAGTTGTTTATGCTACTATCTGTCTCAAAGAGGGCTGAAGAGGAAGTGGAAGCTTTTTCTGATGCTGAACACAGTTTGGAAGTATTGAGGGAACCAAACCAAATGACTGTTTTGCATCAAATGTAAAAGCTTCAAGGTCTAAACTAGTTAATACTTTCACATTCATAATTGCAGGTTCCTTTTTCTTTGCCATAGTGGCCAAAGTTGCATGCAATAGAAAAACCTGAAGATGATGCTACATGAATGAGTATTTTCTCGGGTTTCGGAACCAGAGGATGAACTGATACCATCTGAGAAATTAGGAAAGAGGTTTTTCTTGGGTGTTCTCCCAACAAGGAACTGCTACAATTATTGAGGGAGGGTGAGTGAAGTGGCAACTGAAGAACTCTGAGAAATTATATATTGTTTTCTTTTTTAGTATGTAATTGAACTCTGAGTCAGAGTTTTTAGTAGTTTAATTTATTATTGAACATCTTTCTTGTAATACAGGACATACAGTAGTGTAGGAAGCATATAACATGTCGAGTATTATATATA